CCAAGATGACGAGCAAAAAGTAAAACGGCACCGTTGTAGTTGTAGAATATTTTTGTATTAAATTGACTTATGTCATATAAAAACAATATAATATTATAAAAAATATAGACACTAAAAAAGGTATATAAAATAGGTGCCAACAACATGTTAAGATGCGGTGTTACAAATTATTTTCACCAAGCAATTTAATGCATAAGAATACACCAGAACACATTTTGGTTTAAGGATGAGATATGGTAGTTAAACTAGGGTTGTTACCGGTGTGAACTTCACCCACCAGGTCACATGTTGAGCGGAGCGTTTTTATTCTGTTCCGCCATACTAAGTCTATGGCAACCAGTCTTCGACCATTCCTCAAGGATACGGCCATTCGGAATTTTGAGTGCTATGATTGAACATTATTACAATGAAATTTTGTTTTCAATCGGTCAAGTCGTTTCGGAGGAGAAGCGTTACAAAGACTGCAAATCCGCTCAATTACAGCGTACGGAGACATAGCTCATCAGGTTTGAGGTTTGCACTTACCTACAGAAATTTCAACTTTGTGTATATAAAAATATTTTACATTTCTGTAATATCGCTTAGTTCACTATCACTGCGTATTTCAATTAATCTTATCAATACTTACATGGATACTTGTGCTCACTGTTACTAACTGATCCATCAACTGGGAGCCTAAACAGCTGGGAATAAAAACAAGAATTTTAAATATTTTTACGGCTTTGGTGGTCTAGCGGTTTTGCATACCGCTTTACTTTCCATCATTATTGACAGTCCCTGACAGTCTATCAAAGTTCTACCGAAATTACTAAAAAGTAATAGATTTACTTTATAGTGTAAGCAGATAATATAACTCAATGGTATATATATATATACTATAGTCTGTGTAATGTCTTTTTAATGGTTTATAATAGTTCAAAGATTTGCGGTACATGGTTATAACTTCATGTACCTACATGGGCAGTAGGTACATGAAGTTTGGTGGCCAATTTCCAAAAAAACATTCACAGTGAAATTAAGGAGGGACGTGGAGGTCGCGTTGTCATGGTGTATTGCAAACAATGAGGCCAATAGTCAACCTCCCCCCGTGAGTGTGTAATACTTGAAAAAATATAGTAGTTACAATGCAGGCAGTGAGTTACAAAATGATATAACGTTTCGTATTGATTTATCATTGATAAGGTCTATAATTAATTATAGTAATCACACAGATAAATAATGTAATATATAGATAATAGGTAATGTAGATTAATGTGTAATTGTAACTGTAAAATTGATATTTAGTGTGTGACTTTTTGAATTTTTTTGTCTTCGGTGTTTCCATTAATGGAGAATAATTCAGAATTATAAATTGACAATGTTCTTTACCGGTAACAATATTCGAACACGCTACCTTGAATACCCAGTATCTCAGACTATCTATTACTACTAAATACCATCTATACTAACTAATAACAGTTATAAAAGTATATTTGCTAAAACGAGTGGTGGAAATTTTAAAATTAATTCAGAACTTTATTAATGTTCTTTTGGCAAAGACTATGTACTATATAAAACAATACCTAAATTTGTGTATATATCTGTGCATGTGTGCCAATCGTAAGGTAGTTTACTTTTTATTTTTTGTAGTTTTTAAGTAATATTATGTAGTACAATAATAGCTTCTAAACTTTAATTGTGGCAAATATTCTGCTTCAACCGCCTAATTTTTACGAAATGTTTGCTCTAATTAATTTTAATATGTATTAAACACAAACATACCATTACTAGAGGTATCCCAGATGGGGTTAAGTACTTTTAGAACGGCTGATAATGGAAAGGAGAATTCGCCTGCGCTAAAGGTATACACTGGCGGGGCACGATTGAATCATGATAAGATGAGTATGAGATCAGGATAGTTAGCCCATCGTTGCAAATTCACCAAGGACTTAACATGATACTATTCAAGCGGGACCGCGTGAAGTTCAAGCTGATATAGTGCAATGCTGGAAATGGGCTTAATAATAAAAGTAAAAGCAACATTTGACATGCCCACATTACGCTGGGTATATATTTTTTATGGATGATAATGGAATAGTGCTTACGGTTTACGCTGGCACCAATGAAGGATGATAAGATGAGCATGAGGTCAGGTGAATATGCCCATCGTGACAAATTCATCAAGAATTTGTCATGGTGGTTTGTCATATGGTACATTGCTAGCAATAAGATCAGTCCACATTATTAATAATCCCTTTTCCTCTTCGCTGAGTATATTTGTATACAAAGTTAGGTCGAAAATATAAATTAACACAAAGTTTTTTTGCTTCTCTCAGATTTGTACTCACGACCTCTTAGATTTAATTCATGGTAGTAAACCACTAAGCTCTGACGTTCATCAATATCTCGTATTTAATTCAATTTCATTGAAATAATATAGGTATATGCTCATAATACATTTGTGCATACAAGTGACCATAGAATTGCGAAGTAACTTAATTAGTCTGAAATTGTCTGGTCTGGTCAGAAATTTCATTGCAAAGTTTGGTGTCTGTTTGTATGTCCTGTATTGTTCTTGATCCCCGCAGCAATATTGTTCTCGGTAACAAAGGTGTTATAATAATTGCGCGGAATTGAATATAAGCATGCAATGCGGTGTGTTCGGTATATAATTCATTTTAAAATAAACCCCTGACTTCGCTCCCAATAATAATTTATACAATTAATTGAAAATGAAGTATAATTATAATTAATATAGTATAATATAATTCAGGGATGAATGGAAGAGAAGATCATATTACGCCGACTACAAATAAATGGGATAAGGAAAAAGCAAATGATAATAGTATAGTATAATTTCAAGTTAATAGCATTTCACTAAATGCATATTTAAGTATATTAGTGGTCACCCAGTAGTCGAATTTCAACGGTAATTTATTTTAAACATTATTATGGTTCTATTATCATAAACTATAGTCTTTAATATTATTAAAATATAATAAAAAATATTACATGTGTAATATTAAATATTAAAGACGATATTAGTTTATTCTCAATTTCACTACAAACTTTAACAATAAACAAAGGGGTATATTGGCCTATGTGTGTGTAATTATTATTATTCAATTAATGTATATTTTATATATAATAAAAAAACTATTAGAATTCTTTACTCCTTCTGTATGTAACATATTAGAGTGCGACATTTCATACTTCACCGGCCGCATAATTTTTTAATATAATGATATGGTACTTTTGTCTTGTCTGTCTATTTGTTCTTGCTTCTCGGAAACGGATGTGCCGATTTTGACGGAACCATCATTCACATATAGCCAATGTATTAAGGTAACTTAGAGTGATTTTATTCAGAAAAATAATTTATTTTAATAAAAAGAAAGTTAAATTACACGCTGATGAGTCGCCCCATAAGTGAAGTATACACATACAATTGTATACAAGTCCACATTGGTTGAGAAGGAAGAGAAAGGTGAAAGTAATAATAATATTAATCCTGGACTAACCACACTACGCCATCTGGTACTCGCAGTTTAAGACACCGCTTTTATTTCCGACGGTCGCGGGTACGTTTCGTGCAAGGTGCAAACATTTGTATTAATGAATATAATTGTTTGTATTGGTCTGGGTATTTTAAAATACATAACTAATATACATAGTATATTATGTACGTATTTATAAAAAGAAACTAATATTTCAATTCACATAGCGTCATGCCCGCTGAGACATTTTTATTTCTGAAAAAAAAAAGAATATGCCAAGCTCGCTTGGCCATGATTGCTTGGAAAGTATTGGTTGAGAACAGAGCTGGACCGATCGTCGTGGACATTTTTGGGGGAGGCCTTTGTGCAACAGTGGACGTTTTCAAGGCTGAAATGATGATGATGTCGATTATTATTATTTATATTTTTAGTATATATATATAGTATAAGTGAGTATTATAAGTTGAAGAATATTTAAACAATTTAATAATTATGATAGTCATATTAGCTTTTTTTGGAGAAAATTCCTGTAGAGGATATATAATAGCATGTAGTAGCATTCACCCGAGCCTTTTTATATGGGAAATGATGATGGAATGACAATATCATAGCTACTGGTATTCACTAGTGAGACACCAGAGACTGATGAGAGAATGCGGTTGAAATCAGGTCACTCAGACAATCGTAATCAATTCATCTGACATTAATAACTCTGGTTTGCACAGTGGTGTGACCGCATAGAGGTCAAATCGAGAGGCATATCATTACTAACAATTAGACTTAGGTAGTTCGCGAGTCTAGTTCAGAAGAGCGCTCGTAAAGAACGGTCTTCTGAACTAGTCACTTGCGAGAGAAAATATTTAGAAGCCTATAGATTGACCACTACTAGTAGGGGTCAGGGGAGGTTTTTTCAGCGGAGTAATATACTGCCTAGACTTGAGTGCGAACGAACTAGTACGCAAGAGTTGGTCAATCAAACGATACTAGTCGCGAATTTAATGCTCAAGACTAACAATCTCCTTTCTTCCTCATTTGTAATTATTAGTGACGCATAATTACCTAATACCGGATGTAAGGAATCCTAGATTTATTGGTATATAACACCAATAAATCTAGAATTCCTTACATCCGGTATGCAAAAAATATTTGTTGTTTCGCCATTTTTTTGTAACCATTACCAAACTACTATTGTGTAATACACACATAACATTGTTTATAGATAAGGCATTATAAGTTTATAATACATAAAAGGAAATTGTGTATATCTTAAATAAATGTTTTTACAAGTTAAGAAGTTTGAAGTAAAAGTGGAACACACCGCGACTGACCGCGAATGACGACCGCGTCATCGTCCGCGTGGCAAAAGCGAAGAGGCGCCGTGACACCTACACCTGCAACGATAACGCTATGATACTATATTTATCTCGCTCTAATATTTAGAAAACAGCAGTCAAGAGCAGGATAACATATCACTGGCTGGCACAGCACTTCACAGCAGTGGCAAACGGCAAACTTTATCCAAATACCAACTTGCGAGAGCACGTTCAGTTGTTTCGGATCCGCCTCACGGAACGCACGCATTTCTCTTAGGTATACGGAATAACTTTTCGTAACTTCAACATGACGTTACGCTGCGTGCTCGCGGTGTTGGCTTTGGTTGGGGCCACGTTAGCCGGACAGGAGGTCACCGAACTTAAGGTTGATGTGGTAAGCGTCCCAGAAGGATGCACCGAAAAGTCTAAGCAGGGCGACATGCTGACCATGCACTACACGGGCACCCTCGACGACGGGCACAAGTTCGATTCCAGGTATGTCAACTTTTCTTTAAGCGTCTACTTATAATAAAAATGCTTGCGACATTGACTCAATTGAAGACATAAAAATTGGCAATACCTACTTAACAAAAAAAACTTTTATAAAGCGAAAAACGGTAATCAAATTAACTTATATTTTCAATTTTGACTTGATAAAACCGGATATTTAATTTAATACTTACGTCCATTTATATTTTTATTGTAGTTTCTTCGTTGTACTTCTATTTTATAATTAAAAAAATGACAATCGTTATTCTGAATAAACGAGATCTGAATGATAGTTTAATAAATAACCATATATAATATTTATTAGCCTCATTACTAACTTTATTTTATAAAATACATATTACATGTGTATTTAAAAAAAGTTATAATCACTGCAATATGAGTCGTACATGCCGATTACTTAGTAGGTACATATAATGAAGTAGCTGTTAATGTAACATTCAAAACTCATATCAGTAGTATTCAGATACAACGTGGCCGAATCCGATTTGTACAAGTCTATCAAGTATATCTTTGCATACACCGACGTAAACATATGACTAATACAAGATTTTAATTAATGCCACAGTGTAAAAATCAACAACGTATATCGTGAACAGTGTGAGAACAAATTTAACCCGGTTTCGTGACTTGTACAGCTGGCAATGCCATCGTAAAATGTCTATTTATTAACAACCTAGAAAATAATGGACCGCTGGACCACGTCTGTTCGTTGCATATTGAAACATCCGTTTGTTGCACTTCAATAAATGTCGCTTATTATATATTTTCTTAATTGAATATTTCTAACTAATATTGTAAATCCGTGAAGTCGCCTGTTTTGTTAGTTTTTTTTACTATTTTATATTAAACGAATAGCTGTCCCGACAATCGTTGTTTTGCTATAAACATTAAGAACGCAATAAAAAAATACGGGTTGATGATAGAAGGGTGAAAATTTAAAGTTGTATGTAATTTTAATGCAACATATATTTTTTTTAAATTTACGAAAAAATAAATAAAAATATTTTTTTAGCGTGACCCTTACTTAACACTTAGGGGAATAAAAATCGTTATGCCTATACCTATTCTAAGATCTACTGAATGTACATATAAAATTTGTTCAAAATCGGTTAAGTCGTTTCTTAGGAGTATAAACCAGTCGGACGAAATTTTTACATATTAGATTAATGCACAATGAATTTTTCATATTTTTTTTGTAGACTTTACCAGAGATACCGTGTACTGTATTTCAGATTATATAGTTCAAGAACACAGAGTATTGTTGTACATATATTTATAAGTTTATCGACATGAAATAACTAGTCTATGGAAAGCTAGTCAGAAGCTGCTAGTACTGTGATACGATCTATTAAATTCACGTCAAATTTAATTAATACCCATCCATCCGTGGAGTGGTGAAAATTTTATGTGAACGTAACAAGTATCATAGGATGAACATAGGCTATATTACATTTAAAAAATTGTTTAGTATTATTAGTAGTTTATTTTAAGTTAGTTCGTATTAAACTCGAAATATACTACTAAACAATCAATTTAAAAAAAGATCAACATATTCATTATAATTTTTCTTTTTATAGCTATGTTATTTTTAATATCCTAAAATAAAGAGAAGATTTAACATTTTTTTATAAGTAATGTTTAAACTCGAAATATACATACTTAATAGTTTTTTACTACGATATCAAACTGTCTGCCTGTAGTCTCCTTTATCGGAGACTAAATCGACATTATTTGAAATTTGAAAATTTAATTTTTAAAATAATGTCCATTTTGTCTCCGCTATAGCCAGACAGATTATTCGTAATTATTATATTTGAGACGATTAGTTTAAAGTTTTATATGAGGTTGCCATAATATTTTATAAAATTTACAAACGTGCACTAGTGCTTCCATTACCGCCTCTGTTTGAACAACACAAAAATACATTTTTTTGGTTTCCGTATATATAGTATTATTAACGGTATTTTTTTAAGATACAAACCAACAATGTTTTCTTTCATATAACGAAATATTTTTCTTTTTAAAAAAAGGTCATGGTTTTATAAAAATTCAGTATTTATTTTAGTGAAATATGTATCTTTTATTTTCTTACAACAACTTATATCTATTATTACCCATGATTCATTAATATAGTGTATTAAAATAAAATTCATAAAGTATGGGTATATAATAATGTTACTTTATTTAAAAAGCATTAATGTTTTAAATAAATTCTAACATATTATTTCTGAGTAACCTATCAAAATCGGTAATTAATTTAATTTCCGATAGTGATACAACACTATTTATGAATCGTAAAAACCTGGCAATATCGGTAATGTCAAATTTATCTCAGAGATAAAAAAATATAGCTAAGTACATAGTTTACTAGACATTTAGGGGACACAAAATACTGATTCAATAAAGGATTATTGAAAATTCAATTTTTAAAATAGTCCAATCTAATTAGTCCAGGAGGACTAAGCAAATTAATTTGATACTTTGATTTTGTAGATTCTGACAATGATATTGTTAAAAGAAAGCCACAACAAAGAAAATATGTTTATAATAATAAAATTACAAACAACATTCCAATCTGAAAACAATATTTAAAATAATGTAAACGAAATAAATCCATACTAGTAATATAAAGGCCAAAAACTGTCTCTCTGTACCTTTCCTATAATACATGGCTTAACGTATTAAATTAAGATAGACTAATATTCTAATGCTGTTAGCCGCAACTGATCTTTACAACTCAACCAAACGGTATAGTGGCGAGTACAGAAGACACCCCAAAGGCGCGGAAGGACTTATGGAGCGACTGAACGCTAACTTCTGCCTGACAGATATGAATTTTGTCTGAGGACACTGATAAGATTTAGAATCTGGTTTCAACCCGTTTTTTTTTTGTACTATTCTAATGCTGTTCGCCGCAGCTGGCCTTTACAACTCAACCAAACGGTATAGTGGCGAGTGCAGAAGACACCCCAAAGGCGCGGAAGGACTTATGGAGCGACTGAACGCTAATTTCTGCCTGACAGATATGAATTTTGTCTGAGGACACTGCTAAGATTTAGAATCTGGTTTCAGCCCGTTTTTTTTTTGTACTATTATAATGCTGTTCGCCGCAGCTGGCCTTTACAGCTTCACCGGGCGTTACACAAGCTTACAAGCAACTTTACAGCTTCAGGGGACGAGTGCAGATAGTACTCCAAACTCGCGGAAGGACTTATGAAACGACTGTACTCTAATTCCTGCCTGACGGATACAATTTTAGTCTGAGAGCACCGCTAAGCTTTCTCAGGCCGTCATGATTTCGACCCCCATTTGGATAAGATGGAATATTGATCCGCAGATTATAAAGATATATTAAAAAGTGGACAAACCACGGGTAGCAACTAGTAAAATATTTAAATAGTATTCTTATAGCCAGCGACCTGAGTCTAAGGATTCCTCAACGATACTGATATCACAGGATAAGTAGCATGACATCTTAGCCCTCAGTAATGCAACGCATGATCATCATCATGTGATATCTGTGACATGGTGTTATATGCGTATCCGTATCCGTCCATGTATTACGGTTACCACTTACCATCAGGTTGGCCGTCAGCTTGTTTGCTATTTCAATTACATAAAAGGGATATATCTAAATATAGCTAATATTTATCAACTGAGTAAATAAGTAGTTTACGTACAAATATCAAGACAATGGATATAATAATGACGTGGGTTATTGTCATTAGTTAGTTTAGTTTCCTTTTATATATATATACCTAGTAGTTTTTTTACTGGTCAGTCATTTAATTTATTTATCAAAGGAAGGTCAGTTAGTTAATACTGTTACTATTGGATTCGACTGCAATTGTATTTTAGTTTAAGATTTTTTTTTTTAATTGATAGCTTTTTATATCTTACTTTATTCATGACCATGAATATAAGTCCTTATAGTTAATATTTCAGGTGTGATCGCTTACAAATTTCATCAAGATGTGATTAGTAGTTTTTCAGTTATCCTTAATAATGCGATTGTTTTTGCGTGATTGTACAGCGGTATTATTTTGTATAGTAGGTTTTATTATACAGTTGGTGTCACAATAAGACTACTTGATGTCACTGATGACTAACTGATGTCACTGTGACATATTTTTTTTTATTTTCATCGAACATTAATACAAGACAAGGAAATCTCGAAATAAAACTCTAAACCAAGTCACTTGAGCAGAGTGATATGTGGAATATAAATTATGTTTATTCATATAAACGTAATATAAACATACTTTTTATTAGTTGATTTTTTAAATGCAGATGCAGGCAAGAACAGCTAGAGTCTTGTCTGTTACTCAAACAAGAATTGTACAACTTCGCGTGTTTAAGATCTTGTGTGAATACAAACTACCAAATGGCAGACAATCAAACAGCACCAATTAGCATAATTTGCTAAAATCCTCTTATGAGTGTGAAAGCGGCGCCTGGCGAAATAATCGCGCGGTAGAATACTACATGAATGCACTCTGTCAGGACGGATATCATATTCTAAATGTCAACTACCAAACTGATATGTTTTCATTACTGTTATCTCTCCATTCTTTATCAGTACCGTACAAAGTAACTTAACATTATGTTTTTTAAACGAACCTATCTGCTGTAGGTACTTAGTTTATCTTAATCGCATTCAATATGTATACCTAAATTATTAAGCGTAGCCATAAAAAGGAAATCAAATCAATATTGCATTACAATTAAAATCGTATTATAGCCAAGTCAATGTATATATGGTATATATAATGGTATATTATACCAATTTTCTTATATTTTTATATATTGTTGCATATTGAAAAGTATATGTTTTAGGTATATTATATAAGTAATAGAATTCGTTGTGCTGTACTTTACTGTACAGAGATTTTTTATCAAAACATATACTCACAAACTCATTTACATAATAATGCCTACGTAAGTAGACTGTATGGAAAGTAGGTTTGCTCGTAAAAATACCACAT